AAAAAATTCCACGCCTATGGGATGTGCCACACCCCCTTTTAAAAACTCGTTTATACATACCCTCCTAAAAGCACCTACCATCGAAATGTCTGCATACCAAATTTCGAGTTCGTGTGACTTATATGTAGTTCCGAAGTTATAGCAGATAAAGAAATCCACGCCTATGGGATGTGCCACGCCCCTTTTACAAACTCGTTTATACATTCCCTCCTATAAGCACCTACCATTGATATGTCTGCATACCAAATTTCAAGTTCGTGAGACTTATGGTTCCAAAGTTATAGCTGATAAAAAATTCCGCGCCTATGGGATGTCCACGCCCCCTTTTACAAGCACATTTATATATACATTCGTGTAAGCACCTACCATTGATATGTCTGCATATCAAATTTCAAGTTCGTGTGACTTATGGTTCCGAAGTTATAGCTGATAAAAAATTCCACACCTATGGGATGTGCCACACCCCCTTTTACAAACTCGCTTATACATTCCCTCCTATAAGCACATACCATTGATATGTCTGCATACCAAATTTCAATTTCGTGGGACTTATGGTTCCGAAGTTATTTTTGAAAAAAATTCCACGCCTATGGGATGTGCCACGCCCCCTTTTACAAACTCGTTTATACATTCGCTGCTATAAGCACCTACCATTTGTATGCCTGCATACCAAATTTCAAGTTCATGTGACTTATGGTCTGGAAGTTATGGCTGATTAAATTTTTCACGCCTATGGGAGGTACCACGCCCCCTTGTCGGATCCCAATTTTTTTCACCCTATTATAGGCCTAGGTGTCATGGCAATACTCTGTCAAAATTTTGTTCGATTCTGTCCGTCCGTTTAGACTGCAACCTGGCACATACACACATACATACATATATACATACTTTCACAAATATATAGTAGATATAGACATTGCCTCTCTTTACTGAATTCGGGGAATTACCGAGCTTTGTTTATTGTAGAGATTACGTTTTTTATTTGGCCTTGGTTATAATGGACAAAAACCGATATTTTTGTCCATTATAGGCGGAGTCCGTTATATCCGGGTCTATTTTAACTGAGTTTTTTCATATGTTTGAATTAGGACTTGACAAATAGGTGCATATTAACAGAATTTCCATCTTAAGCGAGTCCATTATAAATGGATTACTCTGTAGGATCCTTTCTCCCGTTAAGTGGACCAGGGACCGATCTATTCGAAAAAATCTTATTTCCGATATTGGCTATTTAACAATACTTATTACACTGGCCAACAAAAATAGATAGACTTTTTTGCGCTGATAAGTAAGTAAGTATAAAGTTTCCATCAGCTCTAGATTTTGAAAAAAACGTAATTAAAGTGTCAAAAATTCGCGGTTTTTGCAATATTTGAGAAGAAGCAAACAAAAGGCGATAGAACCTTTCACTTAGGCTTAAATTAAAGCTAGAACTCCCGGCTACTTTAAGATTTGCCGCATCAAAATCAGTATTGCCCTGTGATATCTATACTAATTATATAAAAAGAAGCTCCATATTTTTATAAGAGGTGATCTCGCGAACGGCTGTAATAATTTTTTTGAAATTTTGGACACCTACTGCAGGCTTTCGATATATTAAGGGAGCGTGGCATCTCCCATACATATCGAATTTTTCATACCGTATATCTCTGGAAGTATTTGTGGTAGAGTCCTTTCACTTGGTACTGAGATTTTGAAATCGACCCCATAGTCATGGAGAAAAGTGGGGGCTATTGGAAAAGGGGGCGTGGCGTCTTCCAAACATATTGAAACTTTTACCTATCTGTAAATATATATATACACCCACCAGAATAAGTCTCAGTACAGTGTTTTTTAATACTTGCAATCTTTTTCATAATTAAATTTTTCGTTAATTTTTTATAGAAATGGTGTTTATTCAAATTTAAGAAAATTCGACAAAAATTAACCAAAATTTTAAACTTTCAACCAAATTTTGAGTATGTAGTTTTGTATTGCACTCAATTTCAGTATAATTAAGTGCAATTTTTAAGCTACTGTTGATTCTTGAGAATTTTTTTGCTGATGATGTTGCGCATTTTCCCCGTATAACGAATGCATAATAGTTTTTTTTTTATATGGGAAAAATGTTGAGGAGCGTTAGTATGTAAAAGACTTATTGTGATGGATGTAGATAATTCTTCGGTACGTGTGTCACAAATACTCAACTCCTTCTAACCGAGCGAAACGATTTTTATGAATTTTTTGTATGCATTTGAGTAGGTCCCTGTATAGTTTAGGTTCACAACTTAAAACGCCAGGAGGCGCTGGAGTCGAGTTATTACTCAATATTCGTATTTGTGATCCGATTTGACTGATATTCGACATATTTATGTATTGGTAACGAAAGGGGCAATACTATTACAAAAAAAGATACGCAAGGTGGCGCTGGAGCCGATTTATTGCTAAAAATCGTAAAGTGAAGTCATTCGGAGGCACCAAGGATCAAAGTCAAATAAATTAAATTAACCAGCTTTACGGCGACTAAACAGAATAACGACAATTCTTGATGAAAGCTTACAATTGTAAGACATTAAGGTATTGGATTTCTGAGGACCAATGATACTTCCCAGTTTGGAAATTGCCACCAGCTATACTATACAGATTCAAAGACTATTCACCATCGATCGGGATGGTTCTTGCCGTAAGGACTTCTTCCCGGCATAACGCTTTCGTTAGATTATTTAAGACGGCAATGGAGGATATGCCTTCTATGGACCACAAAACCAAACGTGAACGTGAATTTCTGGCGAAAACGTTGGACCAAATGTTTCAATAAAAAATAATAATTTTGGGCAGGACGAAGTTCGCCGGGTCTGCTAGTATCTATATAAACATAGGTAAAAAAGAAAATAAAAATATCTTTTCCTCGCAATATTTAAGTACTTACTACTGTTTATATTCCGTTCGATATTGTCCAGAATTTATTTCAATAAATATGTCTTCTATGCTGATATTACTAGTTCCTTTATTTTTCGTTTTTGTACTTTGTCTCAAGTTTTGGATTCCTACTTCACTATCACCAGTCCTTTGCCGAATATCCGTTGGCCTTTGTAAACTAATTTGGAAGCGACGCTGCTGTGTTTCTAGTTCTGAAGTGGTGGCTTTCAATTTATTTATTTGGGTATGTTTATCAGCTTTTCTGCCAAAGAGTTTACTATCAGTACAAAAGCTCACGGCTTGTTGTTTACATATGTCGTCTGAAAAAAAAAAATATATTATGAAATTGTAAGATGAATAATTTTGTTGAACCCCTTAGCCCAAAAAAGCTAATATTTACTGGGTCATTGTCAGCAACGTTTTTCAAAAGTGGCCTAGAGGTCCTTTTTACGACTTTCAGGACGAAATAATTCCACAAAAAGGTTCCAAAAAATATTTAAATAAGGATCATTAAAAAAAATATGCGTCTTATGACAGGAGCTTATAATCCATATTATATATATAAAACAAAGTCGTGTTACTTACACCATTTATAACTCGAGAACGGCTGGACCGATTTCTATGATATTTGTTTTTTGAATTTGTATGCCTTATAAATAGCACAATAACTATTAAAGCAACCGCTAGGTGGCGCTGAAGTCGAGTTATTAGTAAAACCCGTATTTATGGTCCGATTCGCCTCCTATTTGAGATATATATTGACAATAGGGAAAACAATACCATTGCAAAAAAATGCGCTGCCAGGTGGCGTAGGAGTCGAGTTATTACTAAAAATCCTGTTTATGGTCCGATTCGTCTCATATTCGAATATCAATATAGGAAAAAAATACCATTGCAAAAAAAGAGCCGCCAGGTGGCGTTGGAGTCGAGTTATTACTAAAAATCGTGTTTATGGTCCGATTAGCCTCAGATTCAAAATATGTATTGATAACAGGAAAAATAATTCTTTCGAAAGAAACTAACTAACTACGAAACTATTTATCGGTGGCGCCGTATTTATGCTCGAATTTATTTCATTATCGAAATATATGAATTCACATATCGATGGTCCTCTGCAATAACGACACAACTCAAAATTCATAAAATCAAATCCCTTATTACTGTTAAGAGGCTCATGTCTCTAACACTTAGCTAACTCATGTCTAATCCTAACTAAAGTAAGTAGTAAAGATTGCACATGAATAAGACAACGATTAAAGACATGAGCCACTTAACAATAGTACGAGTTTTTTTTTTTTGAATTTTGAATTGTGTCGTTATTGTAGAGGACCATCGATATATTTCTGACAGGAAAAGATACATGTGTCATTCCATACAATATTTACACCTCAATTTTTTTTTTTTGGTGAAATATATTTTTTTACATTATTTATCGAAAAAGAAGACACCAACTTTTTTATTTCGTCATGATATTCGAAAATCTCGAAACAAAACTTCCCGAAATTTTGAACTCACGGAGAAGTATCTTTTTTGAATTGTTTGCAGTTAATAAACTATTTATCGGAAAAATCTGTTAAGGTATCAAAATGTGCGTAATTACCTCGGCTTCCCATGAGAGTGTAGGATTGATTAAAATTAAAAAATTTTGCATTAAAAAATACCATTTTTTTATTTTATATTTTTTTATTAAAATCATCATGTTTGATTTTTATTTTTTTCAACCTGAATAGTTGTCGAGCTTTATGGAGTACGCTGTAAAAATTTGATAATGGAAACACCAAAGCTGTAGAAGTTACGAGTTTTTTCATACCTGCGTACATAAAGTTTCCTCCGAAACGGCTTGACCGATCTGAATGAAATTTTTTGTGTATATTCGGTAGGTAAGGTAGGTAGGTAGGTAGGTTGTAAAGTATGTTTCATACCGCTAAGTGAAGGGGGCGTGGCGCCTCCCATACAAACCGAATTTTTCATACTGCATATCTCTGGAAGTGTTCGTGGTAGAGTTCTGGAAACGTGGTATGGACATATATCAAATCAATCAAATGATCATGAAGAAAAATTGGGACTATTGGAAAAAGGGGCGTGGCACCACCCATAGAACAGAATTTTTCACACTGCATTTCTCTGGAAGTGTTCATGGTAGAGTACTGCAACTTGGTATGTATAACATATATAAAATCAATCGCAGTCATAGAAAATTTGAAGCTATTGGAAAAAGGGGCGTGGCACCTACCATGAAAACCGAATTTTTCATAGTGCATATCTCCGGAAGTGTTCATGATTGAGTACTCGAACATGGTACGGAGATATATGAAATCAATCCCATATTCTTAGAGAAAATGTAAGCTATTTTAAAAGGAGGCGTGACGCCTTTCAAACGCACTGAAGCTATTACGTATCTTTGTATGCATATACACTTGTCTAGGTTATAGAAGAAAAATGTGTCACTGAAAATCATGAACGTGAACTGTTGGTGAAAATGTTGGACACAAATGTGGTGTTCCTTTTCTTTCGTACGTGTTTATTGATATATCTGTACTGTAGTGTTTTCGGACGGTACTAGCTCTTACTGCCAATATAGGAGTATTACATATATGTGTACAAGTAAGTTCTAAAGCCACATATATGTGTATACCCTCATATGTAAGATAGAGCATGGAATGTTCATTAAAGCTATTTAATTTTTGTTTAGGAAAATGAGTTCCACTTGTTTCTACGACTTTGCGAAGGGGTCCACAAAACAAACGACCTTGATATTCCTATTTGATAGAAGCTTTCTCCCGCATTGTCAACGGTTTCTTTTAAGTAACGATACGGCTCGTATATCCGTTTTTACCAATCGCTTTATAAAGTTTTATAACTACTCCTAATTTAATATGTAAGTTAGGCATCATCATTTTTGATATGGGTATGAGAGGTTCCATGGGCGTACAAAAAGCATAATTTAGAGGAGGCTGGGATTATTTGTAATGTATATTTTATTAGAAATATTAAAATTTATAATAATTTACCTCATTGATTTTTCTTTTTTTAACTGACTTCAAAAAAGGGAGGAACATTTTTTTTTAAATGTATGTTACCGCATAACTTTAGACCACATTAACCGATTTCTATAATTACTTTTCTATCGGAAAGGTGGTGCTTCAGGGGTGGTCCCATACTAACTCGGTTTAGATCCTATCATTAGCTCATGAAGAAATTAACGGTACTTCTAAATTTGTATATGAGAATTGAAGTCGGTTGTGTTTTTTGCTTAAAAATTACTTGTTATTGTAACAATTAAGTTGTACCGAGCCCTACAAAGGAATTTATATTGCATAAAGTTTATTTTTTTATTTTTTTTAAGTTTTTGAAGAGTTAAAACAAAAACAGAGTTCAAAAAAGGAGGATTTTTTCTATTCGTCGGAATATTTTTTTATGTTTGTTGCCGCATAACCGATTTCGATATTTTTTTTTTACGGAAAGGTGGTACCATCCTAATTTGGTTTAGATCCGATTATTGGATCATGAAGAAATGAACGGTAATCTTAAAGTTTTACGTCAGAATTGAACTCGGTTTTGTTTTGTGCTAAAAAAATTACTTATTTATTTAAACAATAATCTTCGGGGGTCTTCTGCAAATCGATAAATTGTTTCAGTGATGATTTAATTTCTGTTTTTTCTACAAAACCTCTGTGAACGCTAAGCATACACAAAACCTAAATTACAGGTACAAACTAAGTAGAAAATACTAAAAGATAATAATTCTTTTACCAATTTTTTTAAGTAAATTGCCGATATGATTGATTAAAAATCATTAAATTTTCTGTTACAATTTATTTTTTGTATAGGAAAAAAGCACCAATCAGCTGTTTATAAACATAATTTATCAGACTAACAAAAGTAAGCTGAAAAGGATCTTCACAGTTGATAAAATTATCGAGTAACAACCAGCAGTTTACCAAAACTACCGAAATTGATGTGAAGACCCCTAAAGGTTTAAATTATTGCATATATTTTTTTCAGGGACCGTAAATAGCAGTTATTTTTTTCCAACAGTTAAACTTGGCCAGATATTTTTAAGTTCGAAATAAAAGTCTTTCCGGATATTAAATAAAACGCTTATCCAAAATAAACAAATTTGGTACCAAATGAAAGAGGACTTATGTAAATAGCTTTTAAACTGAAATAACGATCGAATGCTACCACTTCTTTTTGCATTTTTTTTATAATTTAATACAAAAGATATGCATATACCTGACCCAAGGTTTGTTCTATGGTAATTAAAAAAAAATGTATTTAAATATTTTTCAATAGCTGGCCTTCTGCTGACTTTCCTCGTTTAAATATTTTAGTCTTAAAGCTATTTTTGTCCTCTTTCAGTTGATACCAAACTTGTTTAATTTGTATAAGCGGTTTGTTTATTATTAGGAAAGGCCTTTTTTCGACTTAAAAATATCTGCCCAAGTTTAGCTGTTGAAAAAAAGTAACTGTTATTTGCGGCCCCTGATTTTTTTAAAAGGAATTAATAAAGAAACTTACAAATAAACTTTGGAAGTTTACGCCCATGAGTGGTTCCCGTGCAATATTGCCTTTTTTATACCCGAGCGCATTTGTGCACAAGGTTATTATAACTTTGTTCGCATAACGGTTGTTTGTAACAGGCAAAACGAATCGAGATAGATATAGACAAATGTATAGATAAATGATCACAATGAAAAGAGAAATCGATTAAGCGGTGATTGTCTGTCCGTCCGTCTGTGCACACGATAACTCGAGTAAAAATTTAAATATCTTAACGAAACTTCGTACGGTTCCATCCGTAGGACGGATGGTATTGAAAATTGGCAAATTCGGAGGTGACAGGTAATAAGGTCAATGGAAATGAGGTCAATTGACTTTATTTCCCACCCTGGTGCGAAATAAAGTCAATTGACATTATTACCTTTTTAAAAACGAAATAAAATCCATTGAGATTATTTCTCTTTCAAACACTAAATTTGTTTAGCTTCGCGGCGGACCGCGTCAGCGCGCCACACCGCGCGCGCCGCGCTCGCGCCCCGCGTACCCTGCGCGACCGGCGCGCACACCACGTCACGCTAATAAATTACATTTCAATACGTTTTTGTGAAATCCTTTGCGTGCACTTCTTTTTCTTAACTAAAATTTTCTAATTTATAAAGGCTATTCAACTGGTTTATCTTATTTTATCATTGCACTTTTGTTTGGAAAATGTAGCTTTATTTTATTGCTAAATGTGAATGATTAAAAGGAATGACACCTTTTTTGGCACTTTTATTTTTCTATTTGGCACATTTTAACACTTTTTTATCCTCAATAT